TGACGATAAATAGTTGATAACCTTAAATGGTATAAATAAATAGTATAACCTTAAATAAATCGTTCATATTGTGAGGCAAGATCAAAGAAGAACTTGAAATATTATCGAATAATAATTAAAATGTTTATTTTTAATGATATGAAATCTTAACGACGGAAAAAACGTCTGGTCAGTTCAAGTCTCACTCAGAAACTGAAAATAAACACATCAGTTGTGCGTTACGATAATAAAATAATATAAATAATAATAATATAAACAAATCCGTAGATTGTCAACATACAAATTTATCTAGATAACGATATATATTTTACAGAATTTACCGTAAACTTACCGTCAACTATCTGTCCATCTTCTTACAGTTAAGTTTATAGTAAATTTTTGATTATTTAATTAAAAAAAAAGAAAATAGTTAACTCTGAATATTATTACTTTTTCCATGAACTGTAATTTTTATTTCAAAAGAATTTAGATTTAACATATCTTATCTCAACTCGTTTATAACAGTTATCGACTTCTTGTGTTTTTTAGTGACTTATAATTTTTGTAACATGACAGACTTGATAATAAAACTACATATTATCCAATTAATAAGACGCTAATGAGTAACATAATTATAAAATCCAAGAAAAAGGAAATCAACTGTTAATTAATTTGAAAACCGCACGGGCCAATTGTAAAAATTGTTGAGATTATTAAATGAAGTGTCATGCTATCCCTAACTAGTGAAATTTATGTTAAATGTGGGTGGGCTGAAATTGTGATGTTATAAAAATTCATTTCACTATCAACGAGTTTTGTTTCGATAACTTTAACATCAAAATTCCTCAAAAATTATCTATTGGCTAAATTATCTTCATTTATTCCACAGACCATACAACAATTTATCTAAACCATAATAAAAAAAAAACAAAAGATTTTAATTCAATATTTACTGTTTATAATAAATAGTCATTGTTATAAACAAATATATAAATAAATTTAGAATCTCGTAAAGTCATTTATAATATTTTATTATTATTAATCAAATCTATTAACAAAAATCATCCTTCAATGGAGTATAACGATTTTAAATTGTTTATAACAATTGAAATTTGTTATAAACAATTATAAAAGTGTTAAGAGTCATATATTGCCATCAACAATAATATTGTATTAACATTGACCTTTTTTTATTAATATCATGCATTTTTTTAATTTAACGAAAGAAAAAAAACCGGAAATACGTACATACAAAAATACGTACGTATAGATATATGTACATTCAAAAATGCGCACGTACAAAAATATGTACTCACAAACTCACATATAAATAAATAAACGTAACAATATACGTACGTACAAAAATACGTACTTACAAACTCACATATACGTATAAATATACGTACATTTAGACATACGTACATTCGAACATACGTACTTACAAACATACATATACGTATAAATATATAAACGTAAAAATATACGTACGTATAAAAATACGTACGTACGTTAATCTTTTCAACTAAAATGTTTTGAATATCTTAAAAGATATGACAATATTAGGAATTTTAAAAATGAACTCCATCGCAATTATTTAAATATACGTACGTATAAAAATACGTACGTAAAAAATACGTACATACAAACATACATATACTCATAAATATACGTAAATTTAAACATACGTACATTCGAACATACGTACTTACAAACATACATATACATATAAATATATAAACCTAAAAATATGCGTACGTATAAAAATACGTACGTACGTTAATCTTTCTAACCAAAATGTTTTGAATATCTTCAAAGATATGACAATATGAGGAATTTTAAAAATGAACTCCATCGCAATAATTTCTCAATGGGATATAAATAATAATTATAATGATTAATTATTAATTGGAAAATAATGTTGAAGTGATGAAAAAAAATGTAAGATAATTGAATTTCAAATGAAAAGTGTTAATTAAATAAATCTTACATCAATAGTAAATTATTTTTTATTAACTCTATCTTAGAAATTTAATTAAAATCTTTGATATACGGTAGCAAGACCCTGTGTGATGATTTTTTTTTTTTCCTATATCCAGTGCCACAGTGGTACAAGATAGGCCGCAAAGAGACCAGCTCTCTCACCCAATACCAGTTCGTCCAGTGATTTGTAATTACTGCTGTTAATATGATACACTTGATTGCAGTGACTCTCACTAAATATTTTATTTCTTTCTTTGTTAAACTCAAGACAAAGCATTCAAGTATTTCAAATGATCAAGAATATTCATACTAATAGCCTCATTTTATATCCTTTCAATTTTATTATCGTCTTCGGCGCCACAGATTAATCACTCGTGATTCCTTCTTTTTATTTTTCCTATTTTTATTTTTAATGTTTCAATTAATATTTTTTCATTTTGTTTGCATTTCTTTTTTTTTCATTCAATTCTTTTTTCACTCCTGAAATCATTTACCTTTAATGCTTTGTGATATTATTATTAATTATTATTATTATTTATATCAAATCATACACACATTTTTTTTAAATTATAAATAATTAAATAGTAATGAGAGCTGGAAGTTCACCAAAAGTATTAACTTTTAGACTGACTTGGAATTATAATAAAGACACACACACACATATGTGAGGATTGCAATGACAGCAAGAATGACCTAAGATGCAATAAATTTGAAGTGTGAAATGTGCCCATTATCCAGTGTGGATGAAAGAAGGTTTTCGAAGTGAGAATGAATACAATGGAGAAAAGAAACTTTGGAAAATAAAAAAAACCAAAAAAAAAATGTGATAGTAGAGTGAAGGTTCAACTGACTGTGCTTTAGTCGTAAATTGACGTATTTCTATGTTCCAAGATTCGAATTAAAATTAAGAATGTCTTCTACATGAAGATTGTCTTCGAAAAATGACACCATACTTCTACTTCCGGTTATATATTGATTAAAGAACAGAAAGTCGCATTTTTTGCTTCTCCAGCAAGTTTGGAGTTCAATAACTCGGCTGGAAGTGCATGGATTTGTCATTTTCGGGGTTCAAATGAAACCTAGGACTATCTTCTTTCAACTCGATCTGGTGGAATTGTTATCTGATCATCCGTTCGCCAGATATGAGCTTTTAAACAAATAAACTTGATTTATTTGTTTATTTATTTTTTTGTGTTACTTAGAATTGAGATAATTGAAAAATCTCAACGGATTTCTTTTTGGGACATTTATATCTATTTGTCTACAAATTTACGAACTTTCAGGATCAATGGAACATAGAAATCTGGAGATCACTCGATGCTGGCCACTTTTTAAAACTTTTTTTCTTTTAAATATTGGAAAAATCAATCTTTAAAAATTTCTATCTCACCCAAAAATGCACCGATTTGCATTTTCGAGAGCTTGAATGAAAGCTGAAAAAGTTCTCTACAAGAATATCATTCTCTAAAAATAACACTATGATCATACTTCCAGCAATAATTTAAATAACACCCAAATGTCGAGATTTTTCCCTTTTCCAGCAACTTTAGATCTTAATAACTCAGCCGGAAGTGCATTAATTTATCATTTTTAGCTCTCAAATGAAAAATACAACTGTATTCTTTTAAATCGATCTGGTTTAATCATTGTGCAGCCTTTTTTCCATTTTTTATGAGCTTATAAACAAATAAACTCAATTTTATTTATTTATCATTTTTTTTAAATTATTTTTGTCTTTTAATTAGTTATCATCAATCAATGGTAAATAAAAAATACTTACCTCAAGTTAGTCTTAAGTCAAATTCCCATTTATAATTAAAAAATTCTCTCACCCTTTCTATTTTCTTAATTATTTTGCATTCTATCTTTATTTTTCAATAAATATAAAATTAATCAATAAATTTATTTAATATTATTTGATTTTTTTTTTTCAATTGAGTTCTATAGAATGTAAAATTTCATCTCCAACAATACAATTCATTTAATTTTTATCTTAATTTTATTAGCAACATTTATGAATATGAGCAAAAAAGACACAAACAATTTCAAATAATTAAAAGTATTATGAATAATGAAGCAATATGCTTTCATTTTGTGATAAAAAAATTAATATTAATCAATCATTAATTATACACATTATATCAAATGTTTACAATACTACAAATGCTATCATTAATAAATATAAATTCCGGAAATACTACTTTATGCGTTATTATATTATTTATAATATTATTACTGTGCAAATTTTTTATCTTATAATAGATAATTTCTACATTTTCCTCTTTTATTTTATCATTTTAACTAAAGAAAATCATTTCTGTATTTTTTTACACTTTTATTAACTATTTATTTATTTATTTATGTTTTTTTTCTTTATATAAATTCCTTATTTTAAGTAATTATAATACTATAAACGGTAATAAAATTTTTTATCTTTCAAAAATACATTTATAGTGATGTAGTCATAATGAAACACTTTAATTAATTCTTACATAATTATTATTGCTATTTATTAATGATAATTTGATATATCGAAAACTCAATTGAAAAAAAAAAATTAATATTTGATATAAAACTGGAAAAACTTTCACAATATTTTACATGAAAAATTAATACAAAAAATTTAAATTTTATTTATGATTTATTATTTCTATATATTCATTTTTTGGTTCATGAATTAATTGCATTTATTTTTGGTATTTAAATGACTTTGGTTAATTCAATTGGAGCAAGAAACAATTTAAAATGGTACATCAAAATTCTGTCTTTATTTAAAAGATTAATTATTTTCAACTTTTGTTTCAATTAAAATCACAAAAGTTTAAATGAATAATTGTTATCAAATAGAAAATTCATAATCTTATAAACTATTTTATAGTGATTGAATTTAAAAATAAAATCTCATTTTGATGTCATTTTCTTAATAAACATTGAGAATAATTTTTTTTTTTTTTTCATTTTACAGAAACAAACATCTTGGAGGTAGGATTTTTAATAATTAAAGAATTTTTTTTTTAATTCAACATTTGCACTTCAACTTCTTTTTTTTTTTGTCTATAAAAAATTTTCGTAAATTTTCTCCTAAAGTCGTTTTGTTTTACTTCAATTTATTTTTTACTATGTAAATTTATTTTGTCTTGAATTGAAATTAAAACTAAACAGGTGGTTCAGGTGGAGCTGATGGACGGAATTGTGATAATAAAAAGCCACGTTCCATCTCATTGACTTCTTGTTGCTCCTGACCGTCTATAACAATATTAGAACGAGCTAAGCTGTTCCTTTGACGACACATATATGGTGTCTCAGCAGGTGATGGAGTTTCTCGACCCTGAAACAGTTATATTAATTATCAATCATTAAAAAATATCTCAAGAAATTAATTTAAACTAATTTCAGTTAATTAAAATAAATTTAAATGATCTAAAAAATGACCTAATGTACTTGATTCTGAACAAATACCGTCCAAGCATTGATTGAAACAGGATTTCCATGGAGCTTGAGAATTATTTATCTTTAAATAAAACACTTGGATTTTATATTAAGGACGTGGATATTTGGTAATTGTTAAAAGGAATAAAAAAAAAATAAAGGAAAAGGAATATTTTGAAATTATTTTTTAGGTGATCTAATTGATGCTAAGTTTATAAAAGAATTACCTGCTTTGAAGGGCCACAGCATGTAGCTTGATTACAAGGCTTATCAGTTTTAGGACAATCAAGTACACAGTCTTCTGTTGGAGTTTCTTTTACTTCACTATTTGTGTTGTACTAAAATATAAAATATGATTAATTAATAATACTAAATTATAATATTAATGATAGTCTTGTTTTTTCTTTTGTATATATTCAAATATTTACTTCTATAAATTCTGGTTGAATAGTTGTAGAATGAATGCCTTCATTATGGAAGAACTCTTTGACTTGTTCAGCAATTTTCATGTATTCCGATAAATTACGACATCGTATATGAGCAGAAGCAATTATCCGATCACCAGCCAATTGCCAAACATGAAATTCATGAACTGCTAGAACTCCGTCGACATTTTGTAGCAATCTTTGTTGAATGGCATCTACCTATAAGTTGAAAGATTTCAAAAGTATCAGTCTAGTGGTCTGGGTGCGACCTGAAAAGTCCACACGACAAACTTCCCAATGGAAAACATAAAAATACCATCTATTTATCATTATTTTTAATTAAAGATAATTACGTAAAAGAGACAATCGAATAAATGACTTGGTATTTTTTGTAAAATTTTCTAGATTCAATTTTTAACAATACTATTGACGCAAAGTGACCTTGTTTGAAACTAATGAGTTTCATTATGTCATTACGTTAATTTTAGATTTTTTTTTAAGTAAAATTTAACTATTAAAGATTTTTTTTCAATTTTTAGATTTGATAAACAATTTTTTAATTGAATAAATCGATTCTTTAATTTAAAAAAAACATTAACATTCTTTTAAATGATAAAAAAAATAAATACCTGAATATGTGTTGGAACTGTTTGTAATAGAATTAAGGCTGACTCTTGGAGTAGTGGCCATACAGATCGTAAAATAAGAATGACGAGAAGAAGTGAAAGCGCTGGATCAATGTAATATCTGAAATATTATTATTGTTATTTTGTTTTTTCGATCTAGCTCTATTTTTTATCATAAATGCGCCGTAAAAATGAACAAAATGAAAAAAAAATCATAATTTTTCGATTTTTTATAACAAAAAATAGGGTGGACCCCACTTCCGAATAATTACCTTGTTATTATTATCAACAAATAACAGATATTGTTTATGTTAATTTAATTATTTAAATTATCCTTTTAATCTTTCATAATAATTCTCGAGTTATCATTTCATTTTTGTTACAATATATTATTAAATATTATAATAATTTAAAAAAATACATTACTTGTACTTCCAGTTAGTCAACCAGACTATAAGTGCAGAGACAATGACTATTACTGAACCAAGAGCATCAGACAGAACATGCAAAAAAACTCCTCTCATATTCATTTGACTGGCATCATGGCTGTGGCCATGTGCTTTTTTTACTGGTGTCGGTGAAGGTCGATACGCTTCATCATTTTCATTGTCATCAGTACCAACAAGAGTACTCAAACGATTATGACTTCTAGTGATTCCATGTGAATGACCATGAACATTTCCGTGTTCTGAAATCATTTTAATTGTTAAAAATTGTTTTTTTTCAATCAATATCCATTAAATAATAATAAATAATCGTCGAAGTAACACTAATTTAATTCAAAACAAGGTAACATTGAAGCTTAAAAGACCTGGAAAAGAAGCAGATGTTGATGGATGAACGAAAGAACAAGTACACGATAGGGAAGAGGATGGTGAATAAATGTTGGTTTCTTGAGGTTTAGGAATTATTACTTCTCTTTTGTGACCTTTATATGATAATAAACTTTATCAATTGATTTTGAATAAAAACTATTTTTCTATCAACTTTACCGTGAAATAAACAAAGTCCAATTAAATTAACAAAAAGCCCAAGTGCTCCAACAGCTACAAGAAGTTTTGATTCATGAATAACTTCTACTTCGATGAATCTTTTACAAGCTTCTACCGTTATACTGAAACAGAGAGCAACAAGAAATACAGCATTGACCAAAGCTCCTAGTACTTCAGCTCTTGCCCATCCAAATGTGTTCTTTGACCATTTTTTTGGTGACATCTGGAAATAATTTAAATTTTATCATAAAATTCATTAATGATTTATTGAAAAAAAATTAATGAATAGATGATTAAGTACTGACCTTCACAGACAGAAATGCAACAACAAGTGCTGCTACATCCGATAACATATGAAAACTATCCGCAATCAATGCCATAGAATTCGTCACATAACCCACAACTATTTCTACCAAGAAGAAAAAGGCTGTTAGCCATAACATTGTTAGAAGACGACATTTTTTTCCAGTATACCGTCCCATTATTTATTCTCTTCAATCTGCAATGAACAAAAATGATTATTAACAAAAGAAAATAATAGATAATTAATTAAAAAAAAGTAAAATCTAATTTATTTAATTGATTTTTGAATTTTTAATCATTATTATAGCAATTGAAAAATGATACTTTTAGTAGTAGATGTTAGATTTAATGAAGAAATTAACAAAAAAATTTTCTTAATACTAACAATTGATAAAAAAGAATTTTTGGAACATTCCAATTATTATCTTAAGCCTAATAGTCTACTTTACTCTAGCTTATCTCCAAGTTTATGCGGATTTTTAAACCAATTCTATGTTATCACCATCCTTAATCTTCTCTTATTTGTTTAATAATTAGCACACTATATTACTCGTTTTTGATATTTATTTATTTATTAAAATAAGAATAAATAAGTCATTGGATCGATTAATTCTACTTTATTAATTATAAATAGTAATATTAATATTTTTTATTGGTTAAAAATATTAAGTTTATTTTTTTATATTTATTTATTAAATTCATCTAATAATTATGATTTTAAATTGATCATCAACTGTATTATTGTTATAATAAACATTATCACTTGAAGGTTTTTTTCCTGAACTTAACAATCTTCTTGCTTCTATGCAAACTTAAATAAACAAATATTTTTATTGAATTGAATTTTACTAAAAATAAATTTCCCAGATATTAAGGAAAGACTTTAAGGAATGGAGAAAAATGTTAAGCTTAACCTTTAATACTTGTTCGTCTTTATAACGACATATTTAAACTCTTATTCTCACATTTACCTCTATGGTATCTTGGTCATTTTAACTATACAATAGGAATAAATCACGATGAATCATAGTTTTTTCCATACTAAATAGCTTATTGATTTGTCATCATCCAGAGAATGAGGAAAAGAGTTTTTCTTCTAAAAAAATAGAATTAAAGAAGATTCGAGAGGGTCCAATGACCTTTTTTTGCCATAAGAGGAGAAAAAATAACCTAACAGTGCTATAAAAAATAATAATAAAAATTATCAAGATATCAAATGAAATGAATGTTATTACCTGCTAAAAAATACTGATGAAAGTTTTATTTAATGATGAATTAATTATATTTAATTTGATTTAAATTATTTATTTTTTTTTTTAAAAAAAACTAATCACTAAGATATTTCAAATAAAGGCATTATATGTTTTAAATATTTGAAACTATATAAATGTTTTATAATTCACTATTTCGTTGATATAAATAAAAAAAACTGAGCTTGAATATTTTAAAGTCATTTGAATTACGTTAATATTTGTTTAAAATAATAGTATACCATGTTTTTCTTTCAATTTAATCGTAATGATAAATGCATCTCAAAATACACAACTACATTTGCGTGAAAATTTACTTTCTATTTTATTCTATTAGTTACAAGTATCGCCGCCTAAGCGGCGTCTCATGTTCATTACTAAATATTTGGCGGGAGATGTGAATAATTGTTTAAAAAATATCACTGATAGATTAATAATTAAAATGGTAGACTTGTATAGTATATATTGAATTATTTCAATTATTTATAGACTTATATAAATAAATTACATTACATTTCATCATGTTTTTGGCGTTAATTACGATTCACGTGATAGCTCAAATAGAAATCTATCTAACCAATTGTGCAGAATTGTATTGTTTTCTGCTCAGTAAAAATGATTTCGTAAAATATGTATAGTGATTTATATAAATAACATATCTTTATTAAATATTTATCTAATGATAATAGTAAAGATTAAAATTCAACCTTCCATTATTTAGTATTAATTTATTTGCAAAGTGTGTGATTATAATGAGTTTTGGTGTGAAATTTTTTAATGCAATTGGAACTGTAATACAATATTCATGTATAACACATTGTATTTTAGAATATGTCGGTGATTTTATTGTGGTAATAATATAATAAAATTAAATCATTATTATTACTGTTTACATTTTTAGTATTTTTACAAATATTGTGAGTTAGGTTAGAATTGACTGTAAACAATAGAATTTAACTACAGCGCCATCTACTTTTGTTTAACATCAAATTGAATTTAAAATAACTGTTTTTGTTTATAAAATTTATAGTGAATGTTATTTTATTGTCCAAAATAATTAATAATCAATCATTATTCTAGTGTACGGGGCCATCAATGGAGCCAACATTATACAGTAAAGATGTAATATTCACCGAACACATAAGTCATCGTTTACAGAGGTTAAAAAAAGGTGACATAATTATTGCCAAGTGTCCCATAAATCCGCACCAACATATTTGTAAACGAATTATAGCAGTTGAGGGGGATAAAATTCGTTATGGTTTCAAAAAATATGTTGTAAGGATTATTTTATTTTTATCCTTGATATAATAATTGTAGATTACATATTATAATGATTGTTTTTTTCTTTTTAATTAACTAATAACCTTGAAATAATTGACAGGTACCACCAGGCCATTTATGGTTAGAAGGAGACAATCGAGATAATTCAACTGATTCTAGGTTATATGGTCCTGTACCTCAAGGGCTGATAAGAAGTCGTGCTGTTTGTAAAATCTGGCCTTTAAGTGATTTTACTTTATTCACCCATGATGATTGACAATCTTTTTATAAAGGAGAGGCTTCAAAAAGGCCCCATTATCAGTCTCTTTGTCATTTTTTGTGCTACTTGATAGGATCTTTATGAAAAGAACTATTTAACCTCATTTTTGTTTTTGCAATCTTTATAAAGATCATAAAGATCAATTAGATAATTATCTAGTTATTTCATATACAACAAAATTGAGTAACAAAGCGATTATAATATAAATAGTGCACAAATACATAAGCCATTACATACATAGAAATGGTTGTTTTACCGCACTGCTCTCATGGGGGCCAGTAAAGGGTCTTTTCAATACCCCTCCTTTGTATATATTTTAAAATCATCAATGTGATAACTTAGTAAATATTCTAAATAATAACTTCATTAATTAATATTTCCTGCATACATTTATATTTATATAATAATATTCAAATTCAAAGGCAATGTAAATGTCGGATTGTACACTCACAATATTGGTTATGTGCAGGAAACAAGGTGACTAAATTTGAAATAAATTAAGACAAAAGATGTTTGGTAATTAAAGATAGGCTGATTTATCAAATGATTAAGAATAAATAATAATAAACTTCATTCATATAAAAATAAAATTAATATATTATATAACTTGATCATACTCGGAGAAAAAACTTATTTGTCTTATGTGAACCATGTTGTCTTTTTTGAACAATTTATTTTATTTTTATAAAAATAAATTAAAGTAGAGATAAACTATTGTCTCTATGTCGTGATACCTTCATGTTTTAAACTCTAATTTTTATTACAATTAAATATAATTGTGCTGTATTTTAATGTTAACAACCAACTCCAACCTTCATAGCTTCTAGAAAACTGTAAAAATGTTGGAATCACAAGATATCTTCACGGTAAATTCATGAAACTTTTAAAAAAAATATACAGTAAAAAAACTTGATTCTTTACCGTATTTTTACTGGAAATATTCCATTTTTCGAATCCGTGAGGAAATACACGAAACCTTGATGAACAAAGTTCATTAAAAAAAAAATAATAAGAATCATATCACATTGTTTTCAGTACACCAATTAAGAAATACACTGATCAATGAATATTCCATCATTTTAATAATTATTAAAAATCACTGATTAACATCTTAATGCTTTTTAAGTTTCGTCATAGACATAATTAAGAATCAAAAACCAAATTTTATCTTGAACTGTAATACTATTCTAATTACCAGGAATGTTGATTCTTGTAAAAAAAATGTCGATAATAAAATGAAATGATTACCATTTTTGTTAAATAAATAATTTGTTAATAATTATTGTACTTACCTAATTGATGTAAAATTTATACTGGCATGTTTCGTGTTGGGTAAGAGATTATCTCAATCCTCGCGGGAAAATAAAGCTCCTTCAAATACGTCATAAGGATTTTTACCACTAGCGCTATGCGTCATTTGTGGTAAAAATATGCTTTTTCTCCCACCATTACTAAGAGGTAGCATTTTTAATGTTTGCTTAGGTACAGTAGTTTCTGTGGAAATAATAACGCCGAATAGAAGAAAAAAAAGTAATAAATAGATAAATTAAAAGTTTTATGAGTTTTTTCACTGGTAAGTAAACAGTAGTGAATATGTAATTATTTCACATATCAACTTGGTTATCTAATATTTATTTAAAATCATGAAACCAGTATATTATGCTAATAATGAATTTGTTTTCATGATTAATTATTTTTCAAATTCACTGAATACTTAAATCTTGTGTTCTTTTATTTTGTTCTAATTTGAAGGTAATATTTTTTATTCATTAAATAATTAGTAAGTGTCGCAAAAAACTACATAATGACCGTGACATTGGTTGTTTTTTGATTTATATCCATTGTTACCTTGATGTTAATTTACACTTACGTGCATTATAAGGCGTGGCGTGATGAATTCAATGATAAAAATTAATATTTTCTTCTTTTTTTTCAATAAAACAGTCTACCATCAATTATTTGTCATTCAAAAAACAATAATGCCAAGATTTAATCATTCAAAGATCTCTATTAAATCCTAATTTTTGATTTTACTACTGTATAACCTGAAATTTGAATTATTCAATCATAATTATTGGACTAATTGACTTTTCTCTTTCCAGGAATTATGCTCAATAGCACAGCAAAGCATATATTCCACTGTTGTTTACTGATATGTGTGATATTATTATTCGAATATATATCAGGAGTATTCAATTGGGATGTCGAAAACCAAATAAATCCATGGGAACTATATGGCTACCTTGGTACAACAATATTATACTCACTAAGATTATTAACACTATTATCTCTTCCTCAAATTATCTTCAACTTTCTTGGCCTAACATTGTATAATGCATTTCCTGACAAAGTTGTCCTTCAAGGATCACCATTCATTGCTCCATTTATCTGCATCCGAATAGTGACTCGTGGTGATTATCCACAGCTTGTTAAGACAAATGTGAAGAGAAATTTAGATAAATGCCTTGAAGAAGGTTTAGAAAATTTTCAAATTGAAGTTGTGAGTGATAAACCAATAAATATAATGTCACATCGACGAATAAGAGAATTAGTTGTACCATCAAACTACAGAACAAAAAGTGGTGCTTTGTTTAAAGCACGAGCTTTGCAATATTGTCTTGAAAATTCAGTAAATGAATTAGCAGATCATGATTGGATTGTTCATCTAGATGAAGAGACTTTATTAACAGGCAATTCAGTAAGAGGCATTTTAAATTTTGTATTAGATGGGAAGCATCAATTTGGTCAAGGATTAATTACTTATGCTAATGAAGATGTTGTCAACTGGATCACAACATTGGCTGATAGCTTTAGAGTTGCTGATGACATGGGAAAATTAAGGTTTCAATTTTATATGTTTCATAAACCATTATTCAGCATGAAAGGATCATTTGTTGTTACTCAGGTTTGTTTTAAATATTTTATTAATTTTTTATCTTTAAGTATTAAACGATCAACATAATGAGGAGTGATAAGGAAACTGATTTATTGAAGAGTTACTTTTGGATAGAGATTAGATAAGGATAGTCAATATTTAGTTATTATACCTATTCAATAGTATGATTCGTGATTTAAGATAAAAATTGAAGTAAGACAAAAAAAGAAAAAACTATTAAATATAAAATAAAGATTTATTTTATGAGTTGACTATAAACAAATTACATTTCATTTATTTTTTTTAGATGGGAGCTGAAAGACAAGTGTCATTTGATAATGGTATGGATGGTTCAGTAGCAGAGGATTGTTTTTTTGCTATGAAAGCTTATAGTCAAGGATATACATTTAATTTTATCGAAGGAGAAATGTGGGAAAAATCACCTTTTACTCTATGGGATTTTGTACAACAACGTAAACGTTGGCTCCAAGGTATTTTACTTGTTGTTCATTCGAAAGCAATTCCATTCAAGAAAAAAATCATGCTAGCTATTTCTTGTTATTCATGGGTTACTTTACCACTATCAACATCGAACATTATTCTTGCTGGATTATGTCCAATTAATTGTCCACGATTGATGGACATGACGTGTGCCTTTATTGGTGCAATAAGCATCTATATGTATGTCTTTGGTGTTATTAAATCATTTTCACTTTATCGATTTGGTTTAGCTCGTTATATCATATGTATTTGTGGTGCACTAGCGACAATTCCTTTTAATTTGATTATCGAAAATATTGCTGTTATTTGGGGTATTTTTGGTAAAAAGCACAAATTTTATGTCGTTAGTAAGGAATTAAGACCTCCTGTTATTACAGTTTAGAAAAAATTAAAATATTTTATAGCTTTTTTTTAAACATTCTTTTTTCCATTAATGCACGAAAGATAATCTCTATTATTTTTTTATTCATCAAGTACAATTGATAACATTATGATTAATGGTCAAGTACCTGTAACTCAATTTATTAAGATCTGTTGTAATATATATTTTGAATCATTTAAATTAATTAACTTTTGTAAAGTAAATTTATGTTAAAAAATAAGATCTGAATAATTTGAAATGCTGAATGACAATCGAGGAATGATCTAGAGAAGAGAAAGTTGTTTAATATCATGATAAATATTTTATTAAGTTAATTAGCGTTGTGCCATGTAATAATTATTTTTTTTTTTTTCAATATAGCAAAAAATTTATTCTTGAAATATATACAAATAATAGAACTCATTTTTTTATTATCTAGTCAATACAGTGCTTATTAATGAATCAAATGTAAAGATTAAAATATTAATCATCACAATAATAAACTTCCAGTTTAAATATTTTGCATATTAATTAATAGATTTTTAGTACAGTATTTACAAATAAACTATTTCATGTCTTCGCTAAGTAATTTAAAATATTTAATAATAAATAACAACAGTTAGTCAATTATTAAATCAATCAATTTAGATAGCGATTTATAAAATTTTTATTTGTGTAAATTAAAACGACTTTCTCTTAAATCTTTTTTTTTTTACCAAAGTTTATAGTTATAAGATTTTATTTATCGTATCTATAATTAATACTTAACGTAAATTAAACGTACTAAGAATATTGGACTGCCAAAAGAAGGCATTAAAAATCATATCAAGTAAAAGTATTGTTATTTATGAGCAATAATTGGAAATGTTTAAGCAAAAAAAGAAAAACTTATTTGTTGAAGAGTGACGAATTTTAAGATGAAAAATGAAAATTTATTAAGATAATAATAAAACTTATTTGTATTAATAATTAATTTTTTATTTTGTATAAGTAAAATATTGTTTAGAATAATATTTACTTAAAAAATTATATAATAAGTAGAAAGTCAAAGTATTATTATGCAAAAAAATTTATGTAATAATAAACAAAAAAATTTTTTTTTAATTATTTTTCTCTGTTATTTTTTGAATTTCTCCATCGTATTTTCAACAAAATTCCCTGTTTATTTGTTAAAATATTTGCTGTAGGATCATATTTAAGTTTCTTCGTCATTTTAGAGTCCAAAATTACTTCATAATCCGATAATAAAGCTATCAAACCAACTTTAGTTTGTGTATAAGCAAATTTCATACCTAAATAAAAAAGAAGATAAAATAAAATTAATTTTATTACTAATAAATATTTGAATTCAATGCTTACCAATACATTTTCGTGGTCCAGCACCGAATGGCAAATAAGTACAAGAATCTTTAAATTTTTTATTCTTATCCAAAAATCTACTTGGATCATATTCTTCAGAGTTTGGATAATACTCAGCATCATGATGGATAGCATGAATAGGAATCAATACCTTCAAACCTTTCTCAATTTTCACATTCGTTCCCGGGATTAAATAATCTTTATTACACACTCGTGGGACTACACCAACTGGTGGATGTTTCCTTAGTGTTTCTACAATTAAATACAATCATTTCAATACTTATTAATTATCAATAATTAAGATTACTGTCCCGACTAAAAAAATAAAATTTCCATCAGGAACAATTGGAACATTGACTTTAAATAAGATAAAATGCTTCCAGAAATTTTAATATTTTTTTTACCTTTTATAACACAATCTAAATATTCCATTTCACTCATTGCTTCATAAGATAATTCTCCATATTTATTAATTGTATCTTTAATTTCATTATAAACTTTCTGTTGAATATGAGGATTAGCAGCGAGTTCGTACATGGTGAAGCTCATTGTTGTAGAAGATGTTTCAAAACCAGCAAGAAGAAATACGTAAGCTTGGGCAGCAATGATATCATCATCAATTACTACAATAATAATATCAATAATACATTCATTAATTAAATGATTAAAAAAAATTATCTTAAGTAATAATTACCAATGTCATCATGCTCTTGATAATCTTTATCATCAATCACTTCCGTTTTGCTTTCATTTTTATTTATTCTTTTATCATCTTTCAATTGAATAAGTAATTGCATTATGTCATGACGAATGTAGTTATTTGTTTCTCGATATTGGATCATATTTTGTACTAAATTGAAAAAATAAGCACTGACCTGTAGCAGATATTAACAAACAATTAAACTGAAATTCAATTTTGAAAAATTAATAAGTAAATGAATGAATATAAAATGTTACTTCTTCTGGATTTAAACTCATTCCAAAGTATTTAAAAACTCCTGGTAGATACCAACGAATCGATCTTTTAAAACTCATTATCCAAGAAGGATCAAGGATTCTTTTACACATCATTCTGAATTCCGAATCACTGTTTTGAATTGAATTAGTTTCTAATCCGAAACAACATGTGCTGATTACATCTGTAGCAAATTTAGCTGCTAAATCACGCATTTCTACTGTTTCATTGCTGTCAGCATATTTAATAACAAATTTCTGTAATAATTATTATGATTATTATAAATCAAAAAGGTAAAATGATAAGTGAAAAAAATATAAACCTTAAATTTCTCAGATGATTCAGCCATCAACGGAAACATTTGTTTTAATTTGCCAGAAGTGAATGCTGGAGTAAGTTTTGATCGTAAGATTCGCCATTTATGTCCAGTAAGATTGATTAAATTAGCACTTAGTGGATCTGTTTCTTCATTTATGACAATGCCTCGGCCTGAAACAAATTTAATTCATCAGTGGTTTGAATAACATTGAAACAATAGGGTAAATATAGCAGTGGTCAGTTAAGTCTAGAAGATAAACAATCATCCTTTGGATCATTGTCAAATTTTTTTGCAGGTAAAGGTAAGTTAAAATGATATAAATAAATTGAAACAATGGAATTTTTGTTTATTACAGTCAATCATGGTGTTCAACTAATAATTGATGTTTCATTTCAGGTTTAGTGGATCAAGATGTAAAATAGCACAACTCTATCACCATCCCACTCTACCTTTTATTGTTAACTTCAACAAGTCAGGTGCTATATTAATTGCAGTCCTATATTTTATAGCCTTATTTAGCAGCACAACATTTTTTCAAGTTTAATAATCATTAAATTAAACCTTTAAACAGCTCTGTGGAGACTCTAGAATAATTTTACCTGCGTAAAGTTTGACAATGAGCCATTTATTGCAAGAATTGAATGTTTTTCTTCAATAAACTAGACCTTACTTCAAAGAATAAAAAATGTATTAAAGTATTTTATGGCTTTAACCATTTGTCCATGTTCTAGATGATGGTTATCTATCCCGAGTCAAAAAATTGGGACTCGTTTTATCTTGAAGTAAACTATTTAGACTGACTTTGGTCTGATTTAAACATTCTTTTATTCTAAATGTCTCAATTAGTCTTCATAATCCTATTTACATCGAATCTTCACTAGTCTCATTTTATCCTAAATATTTTCAATCATATTAAATTGATTTTATTCTCAATGTTTTCGATCGTACTATCTTCATTTTGTATTCATTTAACATGTCTTTACCTTAAATGTTTTATTTAGTTCTCATAAGCCTTTATTAACCAAATCCCACTTAGTCTCAGATAGGCCTCAATGTTTCTTGTCACACCAGCCTTTTTTTAAACTCATTTTGCTTACTCAATAAAGTCCCAATAACGTTTCATGTATCTCATTCTGTCCTCATTTAATGGACCAAACAATTTTCAAACAGAACTCATTTTTTCCTCAATAACAACAAAATGAGACTTTTTTGAGGACAAAGTGAGATTTTTAAAAAATCTAAACTTCTCAAAAGTCTCAAATTGTCTTAATAATGGAAAACCGCGGATAAAATAAGACTTTTTAGTCCTATAGTCTCAAATATATATTGAAATTCGATTAAAGACTAATTGAAGACAAAATGAGTCCCAATTTTTTGACTCGGGATTGGTCTAGTTGAACTCTACTGTGTTATCAGAAGAAAAAAAAAAGAAAATACTTACTTTGAAAACAGTCAAAATTTTTTAGCATCACCAACTTGATAAGATTAGGATCTCTTAGAATAAGAGCAGGACTTCTGAGTTCAAAAATTCCTACATATGGAAATCCATGATAGCTTTGATAAATTTCCCGAATTCTTTCAGCAATAGTCATTTTTAATAATGTTGAATCCTTGGTATTACCAAAAATGAGAGAAGGTTTTGGTCCAGGTACATTTCTGACTTTCCAATAATTATAATTACAAATTAAATAATAATAAACAACAACACTGATGGTTAGAATTATAAGAATTATAATTAAAAACATTGTTTAGATAAAAAATATTTTGAATTAATTTAAAGCTTTATTTTTTTCACACAATTTTGTTGCTAGATTTTAGCAAACTGATGTAAGTCTAGAGCAGCTAGAGAAATGACTTTCTTTCAGTACATGATATTTTTGCTTTCCCAGTGGAAAGTTACACTACTGGTTCGACGATTAATTTAATCAATTTTTCTACAAACTAGATATAAAAATAAAATAGTCTAACATTTATTATCAATGAAGGAAATGATATATTTTTCTAAGAAATTATTTGACATAAATAAAAATTGATATCTCATTAAATCATACATGATAATGAAAATATCAGTCTGCACAAAATCGTTATCACTTTTAAACAATCGGCAAGTCATCATCTTGTATATAATCAATCAACAGAGATACAAATAATTCATTTTCAAATTGAATCATGTCTTTCACAGATACAACGTTTATATTCATTGTTATCACAACATTATCCATTGTCTCGTTAATAAACGGTCAAATATTTACGAATAATTATCATAGTAATAATAATAGTTATGATATTTATAATTTAACACGTCATGTTGATATTGTTGATATAATAAATGGAGTACAGAAGACAAAGTTTAATGTTTTGGCAACGGATAATTTTAAAAGTGTTCAAAAATTGGTCGCATCAACAGCTGATAATGAGTGCAATCAACAATTGGACCTTTTTAAGGCTGGCATCATGAAAAAGGAATTTTGGGCTCTAAAAAGTATGATAGTTAGAAAATATTTATTTTAAAATGATTTTATTTATTATTTATTTTATTTTATTATTTTATTTTATTTTAAAATGATATTGAAAAGTTAAAATAAATTTATTTAAATCATTTCTACATAATATTCATTAAGGTATTTCGATCGACTTAGGTTATCTTTCAAGTATCAAGTGAAGTATTCATCACAAATGTATTTACACTGTGTAATTTTTTTTTACAAAAATTTAAACAATTGTTTTCGAATTAATAGACAGACTTTTATATTAAAAAAAACCTGTTAAAAATTTTACGTAATGATCTTGAAGAAAATGTCCAGCTCTGCAGCAATACCATACTGCTTTCTCATTTAAGCATATAAATTTTGTGAAAGAATATATAGAGGATCAGGATCAAACTTTGAACCTGCAGATTGAGTGCAGAAATGGATATATAAAGTCAGATTTTTAATCGAAATGCCTTAAGTAAATAAAAAGAGGCTGGTAGTCAGAGTTTGGTTATTTAAACATTTTATCTAAAAAGTAGATAATAATATGATGATAATAATGAGTCTACTGGTGTTGATTTGTAATTGGTTGTAATAGTGTTGGATGCATCATCGAAGATTCCAGCAGGAATACTCAATGGATTTAGCAAAGATCTAGGAATGTATGACGAATGTTTATCTATTCAAGAAGTTAAAGATAATTTTACTATACGTGGGCGTCAGTGCATGTATAAACCTTCTATTGGATTACCAGGATTAGCACAAATACCATTCCAGTTATCTTTATCAGTTTGTGTACCGTCTATTTGCACTCCTGAACAAGTTAAAGAATTCTTAGAATCAATTCTCAAATCAATGAAAATTTATTTATCACCATTTGTCAATACTTCTGCTATTCAGATTCAATCGGTATCTTGTATATCAATTGAACCCAAGCCTTGGAGTACAGGAGGAATAATTACTTTGTTAGTAAAAAAAAATTATACTATTTTTTTTGGAACGAAGTTCTTTATGGGATGTTATGGGAACAGGTGCTTGGTAGCAAAAACCGTTTATTACAAAAAAGCATTAAGTAGCTATCTCTCTTCCTCTAGACTCACTGCTTGCAGAGAAAGAGAGAGAGAGAAAGTAATCCATCTACTCGCACATCTCATTTTTTATTAAATAACTTGAAAACAATGCATTGGAGATCGAGACATGGTGTGTATGATTTTTAGAGAATTTTACGAGGAAAAGAATGAGACCAGTGTGGATTTTTTGCAATCAATAGTTTTCAAGTTATTTAATTTTTAATGAAAAAAAAGCCATGTGATTTAATAAACTGCGGCATGTAATGAACTGAAAAAATTTTTCTTTTTTTATATCACTGATACATATATTTATAAACAATGGTGAATTTATTGAAAAAAATAAGATAATATTTATACGCAAATTATTATTATCTTTTGCAAAATACCTTGATCAAAATTTATAAATGAAATATTTGTCGAATAGCGTAAAGAACTTCGTTCCTACCCGGTGTCCTATATAATAATAACACCATACAGCTTATTTTATTTTACCTTTATCATATTTATTTGTATTGTATTTTTTTGTAGGTCAATATTAGGAATTTTCATCGGCTTCTTGACCATTTGTACCATCAATGATATTTTAATGAGATCAAATATTATACAAAAGACTGACAATGTAATAATGAATGGTCTAGCACAATTTTCTTTTTATTCAAATAGTCTGAGGATACTTAGTACCAAAACACCCAAGGGTACATTACCATCGATAGCTGGATTACGATTTTTCAGCATGGCTTGGGTTGTTTTGGGACACAATTATGTTATGCCATTTGCTGGAAGTATTATAAATTTGGTTGATATTGGAGAGGTACAATGTTTTGTGATAATTAATTTAGTTAAAGTTTGTGTAATTTATTTATAATTAATTATTTATTCTTCAGTGGGTTCATTCATGGGACGCAGTGTATATTCTTATAGCTCCATTTGCAGTTGACTCTTTTTTTGTTATGAGTGGATTTCTAACAGCCTACTTATTCCTCAAGGAAATGAGCAGTGGACATAAGTTTAATATTATTACTTACTACATACATCGTTATTTAAGGTATAAATGTTGATTATTTTTAGTATGTTTGATTGTTATTCTTCCAGACTCCATGGGTCTTAATAAATAATTATTCATTCAATTAATTGTTCAACTCAATCGATCTATTTTTCCTTGATGTTAGAAAAGACTTGACTCGAAAGTAATCAATACATTGGATCCAATAAAAAAATGATAACAAACCAACACTCTAGACAATTCTATCCAAAATCATTCAGATGCCGTGAAAAAGTTATCACGACTATTCGAAATTTCGATTTCAATGATCAAAAGAAATCTTTCTTGTTCACAGTGTAGAGTTGAATTATTAATTAGGAATTTTAATTAGGTGCTAAGACTTTGGAGTGTTCAATAGAATGTGATTTAAAAAAAAGTCTTAAAATCCACTTATAATATCCTGTTGGTATGCCATACAATCATTGTACACTACCTAGTTCTGTCTAGTATCCTGTACAACCATGACACAATGGTCTAAACATTGCTTTGTAAATGAAAGTAATGATAAAATCAATTAGAATGATTTCTTAAACTCTCCTAAAGCTTGAAGGCATTGGAGATACTCTGTACCAATTGTCAACTTTTAACAACAGTAATTTTAGTTCTAAAAACAATCTCGTAATCTAAGACATCATAACAAACCAACACTCTAGACAATTCTATCTAAAATAATTCAGATGCAATGACTAATTAAAAAAAATCTTTCTTGTTCACAATTAATTTTATCCTCAATGCATAATCAACCTTTTTTCAAAAACCTATAAATTAATATCTTTTTCATCCATTTCAGATTGACACCAGCTCTAGGAATATTAATATTATTAACAATATATATTTTTCCACACTTCGGAAGTGGTGCTCTTTGGGACGAAAATATAAGTAGCCAATCGGAAATATGCTCCAAGAGTTGGTGGAGACTTCTCTTGTACATACAAAATTATTCCGCGGCAGAAACTATGGTAAAAAAGAATTCAAAAATAATAATAATCAATCTTTTCATGAACATAATGATTATAGGGATGTTTAGGTCACACGTGGTATTTATCAGTTGACATGCATTTCTTTTGGTTGTCTCCAATCATTTTATATCCACTAGCAAAGAGACCTAAAATTGGTCTGTATATTTTATCAAGCTTCATAGTGGCTTCTTTTATTGTCCCTGCTGTGATTGCCAATATGAATAAATACTCTGCAGCATTATATCCTACTGAGTAAAATCATTTTTCATATTTCTATCAATTTAAATCTATTAATTTAAATTAATTCTTATTCATCAGTTTACTTGATAATTTTCAGCCTACAGCAGCTACAAGATATGATGATTAATTTCTACGTCACCAGTCATACGAGAGCTGGACCATGGCTACTGGGTGTTTTCTGCGGTTACAAGCTTCATACTACCAAAGGAACTTATTGCAAAGTAATAAAGTGTACGATTTTTAATTTATATTCAAGGTGTTCTCTAAATATAACTAATGGAAATATTTTTCAGAAATTCATTATTCTAGGATGGATCCTAGCAGTTTTAGCATTTGCATTTTGTTTCTTTACATTGAGGATTTTTCAACATCCAGACTATAAATATGATATTTATTGGGAAACTTTTTATGCTGGTTGTTCTAGACATATTTGGGCTTTTGGAGTTTGTTGGATTATTTATACATCAGCTATTGGATATGGAGGTGATAGTTTATTTAGATTAGATCTTTATAGATTTGATGAGATCTTGTTTGATCTGATTATTTTGATTATCAGATCTCACCAGATTTTATCAGATCTTATTAGATCTCTGTATTCCTGGAGAAAGATGAAATGGATCTACACAGATCTACATTTTTCAGATCTACTTAAATCTTATTTGGATTGATTTATGTATACCTAGTAAGATTGCCAGGGAAAAAATAAAATAGATCTACACAGATCGACATTTTTTAGATCTAATTTAATCTACTTATATCTAAAAAACTAAAGAAAATTTGATCTAAGTAAATCTATATAAATAGTGATCTAGTGAGATCACTGTACATCTACACAAATTACTGTATGTCTATGGAGATCTCCATTGATCTCGATGATAAGGAAAATTTAATACATCTACAGAGATCACAGAAGATCTAAAATGATTAAAACAGATGTATACAGAACAAAGTAGATCTAATTGTGCCAAAAAATAGATCTACGTTGATCAATGTAGATCTATTTTATTTTTCCCTGGATTAAATCTATTTTGGATTGATTTTTTTATACCTATCCCGGGAAAAAATAAAGTAGATCTACTCTGTTTTGTGTACATCTATTCTGGTCACTCTAGATCTTCTGTGATCTCTGTAGATGTATTAAACTTTTTTTATCATCGAGATTAATGAAGATCTTCATAGACACACAGTAATTTGTGTAGATACACAGTAACCTCACTAGATCACTATTTATATAGATTTTAGTGATCTATATAGATTTATATAGATCACTATGTATATAGATTTACTTAGATCAAATTTTCTTTAGTTTCTCAGATATAAGAAGAACAAATTAGATCCAAAAAATGGCAAAAATGTGGATCTGTGTAGATCTATTTTATTTTTTCCCGGGTAGTAAGATTAGGGTATAGAAAAATTTAATGCATCTCTAAAGATCACCGATGATCTATGAAGATCAAAGCAGATGTACACAGAATAAAGTAGATCTAATTGTACCAAAAAATAGATCTGAGCAGATCTATACAGATCTATGTTATTTGTTCATGGACTGTTATAATTAAATAAAAAACTATTTTTCTTCTTTATTTTCCAGGAATTATCAAAAACATATTATCATTTTCAATATTCCTACCTTTCAGTAGGATATCATATTGTATTTATTTGATTCATTTCATCAATGAAGCCATGAAGGCAAGTGCTACAAGGGTACCAGGATATTTTTCAGATTTTCAAATGGTATTTAATTTATTCTTTAAATAATAAATTCATTTAAACAGTTAATTCATGATTTTTTTCTTTTAAATACTTTTTAGATCAACATATTTTTTAGTGATTTTGTGCTAAATATATTAGCAGCATTCGTTTTCACACTTTGTTTTGAATCACCTTTTTTAGTGTTAGAAAAAATGATATTAAAGGGTAATAAACAAAGACAAAGTGCGAATATTATTCAAAATGAAGGAATGAAAAATAGTAGTGTGGAAAATGGAACTGATAATTATGCATTCAAGGAAGATGAGGCATCACACAGTAATGATTTACTTCAGAAGTTGGATGACAAAAATGACAATAAAAGTTAATGACTCCTACTTTCAGGGTGAGATTAAATTTAGTTTTGTGATAAATTAAGAATTATTGATTGTAAAATATTTATCAGTTGAGATTTTTTATTGATATTGTAAGATAATGGCACGACAAATGAATAAAAAGATCAAAAGTTTATTAAAAATGACAGGAAAGATTTAATCATTAAGAAAAACGTCTGATGTGCTTTAATTTTAGTCGTCAATTGAACATGAACAAATCAGTCAAGCGTTACTAACAACAAATTCCGTTGATTGTCTGTCAAGATATAGATGGAGACATACAATTATTTTACAATATAATTATTTCGAAATATTTATAAAACATGAATTAACTGTAAAATTATTTAGGAACTGGTGCTAGGGGGAATAATTTCTCCCACTCTTCCATTCTATCTTGATAAAGCCCACGTTTCATGGTCATTTCACTATCAATTTCCATGTAAGCTTTATTTTCTGGGGTCAAAGGTGTCCAAGATACACCAGCGAATTCTTTTTTATCCTGAGGAATCGGCTGTCCAGTGTAAGCAAAGTTAGCCCACATTGATGTCATCTTCTCGACCATGGGGACTTCAGGTGCATTGGAGTCAAAGAAAGGAAAGAGTGCTTTGATGAAGAATAAATACTGCAGATCATCCTGATGACAAACTCCTAAAAGAGAACAGGATGATTATTATTATTTTGATCCAATGAACGATGAAGATTCAATCTAAAAAAGATATTACCAAGTGCAGTTTTGTTAGACCAAGTGAAATAGCTGAAGCGACCTTGATAAGCAAACTTGTAGTAATAAACCGGTTGGTTAGAATATTGACTGATCAGGTTTGCCAGTCTGTGTACTCCAAAAATAACAGCGCCATCAGAATTGAGCTGAAGAGATATAATATTATCATATTAGAAGATATTTGAAAAAATGAATTCAAGATATGCCAACCTGTCCAAGACGCTGAATATTTTTCAAAGAAACTGGTTCATCATTTAAATAAAACCGTTTGAATTCTCTACTTATTTCAAGAGATCTGGGGGTATCACGTTCGTATCCAGCGATAAATGGAGCTAGTTGTGTCCAATTAGCAGAATAATTATCAAATATTGATGTGTTCCCCTTTTCAGCTTGTTCAATAGCACCTGAAATAATGATCCAGCTATGAGAAGATGAGAAGATTTATTATAAGATATAAATTATGAGTCTTACCAGCAAGAAAACCAGCAAACTCATCTTTAGTTACTCCAACAATAAGTGGAACTTGGGCAAACTTCCTTTGTCTAATTAGATCAACAGGTTGTGCTGGTAAAAATCGTTCAAGACCAGGAAGATCTGGTTCTACAACTGGTCTCCATTGTAATCCAAGATACCCATTAGATTCAGCAAACATGGATAAAGTGTCAGCAATCTCTTGAGCTGGTTTAGTTTTCAAACAATCAATAATTGCTTTACTGGATTCAGTAGAGCAGTTGAGAAAACGTGCTTGCTTTTCAGCAAGATGTTTCTGATGAGATGGTGCATCAGTCTGGAATATTATAGCTCCACTCATGGAGATAACTCGGTGGAAAAGACCTTGAGACATTGGAGATACTAAGTGAGCTGAGACACACCAAGCTCCAGCGCTGTATCCAGTGATGGTGACGGAGTTTGGATCACCTCCGAATGATGCAATGTTGTCTCGAATGAATCGCAGAGCTATAACTTGGTCTTTGAGACCTAGGTTACCTGGAGCATATTCATCTCCAGTGCTCATGAAACCTAGAGATGCTAGTCGGTAATTTACAGTCACCAGGACGATGTCTTTATCTAGGAAATATTCAGGTCCCCACATCAGACTTTGTCCAGAAGAGACGACAAAAGCTCCGGGATGAATGAAGACTATCACTGGCTTCAATATGCTATTGCGAGTAGGGAGCTAATAATGTGACGAATTAATCGAAAAACAATGTAGTGAAGTATTGAACTATGAATTCGTTTATTGAATATAATAATTTTAATTTATTACTTGGGTTGTGTAGATATTCAATCGCAGGCAATCTTCAGACATTGGATCATTTCTGTTAGGATCTTTAGGTTGGGGACACATAGGACCTTCTTGGGTAGCATCAAATGTCACAGTCCAAGGCTTAACTGGAACTGGTGTCTATCAAGAAAAAACAATGATATCCAATTATATTGGTAGATATTACAAAACAATTCATTCGCTTACCTTGAATCTAAGATCATCAACTGGAGGTTCAGCATACCTAACACCCCGGAAAGCATAAATCTTCCTTCCTAGTCTTGATGTCATTTCAGATCCCCGAACCCGACCGAGATCACAGCTAACGTTGACCTCGACAGTTTCATTGTGATGTGTAGCATTGATGCTATCAATACCACAACTCAATAACAATCCACAAATTAAAATAACAAATGTTCTCATTCTGATACGATGTAGCCACTGTGACTCAACTCACACGACTGACCAAGAACTAGTTCGTCGCTGATCTTATATTCTTCCTAAATGAGGAAACAATTGCAGAATTTCCAAGTAGATTCCAAGAACTGTTGAATTATACAATGATAGCATTTAGAAAAATAGTAAATCATTGCTTGAAGTTATCTAGTGTATTGTAAAATAAGAAATAATAATAACTCGAAAATTAACTATAAAACATTCAAAACGTTTATTAGATCGATAAAAAACTCTTGATGACAGGGGAAATGCTGGTCAGCTCAAGTTTCAGTCAGAAACTGAATACAGACAAGTCAGTTGTGCGTTGCAATAAACAAATTCATCGACTTTTAATATAAAAATAAAATACATAGTCATATATTTTACAATGTCTATTATATAACAAAGGAAATAGTACATTGTTAACCAAAGAAGCAGAGTATGATTTCCTGACCCAGGTGTAAAATTGCATCATGAGCAGAAGGCAAGGGTGGCAATCACCTGGATGTTTTTTTATTTATTTTACACCCAGGTCAGAATATCATACTTTTCTCCCTTGGTTAAGAATGTACTACTTAGGACATGTTTTTAATACATAAAAAGCTTCCAATTACTCCAATACTCATCAGTTGAGATTATTTATTAACATAATTATCATAAACTTATTTAGGAACTGGTGCTAGGGGGAATAATTTCTCCCACTCTTCCATTCTATCTTGATAAAGCCCACGTTTCATGGTCATTTCACTATCAATTTCCATGTAAGCTTTATTTTCTGGGGTCAAAGGTGTCCAAGATACACCAGCGAATTCTTTTTTATCCTGAGGAATCGGCTGTCCAGTGTAAGCAAAGTTAGCCCACATTGATGTCATCTTCTCGACCATGGGGACTTCAGGTGCATTGGAGTCAAAGAAAGGAAAGAGTGCTTTGATGAAGAATAAATACTGCAGATCATCATGATGGCAAACTCCTAAAAAAGAAAAGATTCAACAGGATTTCTTGATGACACACAAGATAACTAATTGAACAGAATAAAAAAAATTACCAAATGCTGTTTTGTTAGAATAAGTATAAAAACTAAAACGGCCTTGATAAGTAAACTTGTAATAATAAACCGGTTGACTAGAATATTGGCTGATCAGGTTTGCTAATCTGTGTACACTAAAAATGATAGCGCTGTCGGCATAAAGCTGAAAAAATATGAATCATCATCATAATGTAAATACTTGAAAAAAAAGAAAGAAAATAGAATTAATAAACTGCGTACCTGCTCGACACCTTTGATATTCTTCAAAGAAACTGGTTCATCATTTAAATAGAATCGTTTGAATTCTCTACTTATTTCAAGAGATCTTGGAGTATCGCGATCATAAGCAAAACTGATTGGAGCTATTTTAGTCCAATTAGCAGTGTATTCTTCAAATATTGCTGTATTTCCTTTTTCACCTTCTTCAATAGCACCTACGATGAAAAGACTCATTTAGGAAAATATTATTATCAACAAACGTCTTCATCTTACCAGCAAGAACACCACCAAACTCATCCTTGGTTACTCCAGTAATGAATGGAACTTGGGCAAACTTCCTTTGTCTGATCAAATCAACCGGTTGTGCTGGCATGAATCGTTCAAGGCCAGGAAGATCTGGTTCTACAACTGGTCTCCAGATTAAAATAGGATCTCCATACCACTCAGCAAATTTAGATAGGGTATTAGCAATCTCTTGAGCTGGTTTAGTTTTCAAACAATCAATAATTGCTTTACTGGATTCAGTAGAGCAGTTGAGGAAACGTGCTTGCTTTTCGGCAAGATGTTTCTGATGAGATGGTAAATAAGTCTGGAATGTTATAGCTCCACTCATGGAGATAGCTCGGTGAAAAAGACCTTGGGACATTGGAGATACTAAGTGAGCTGAGACACTCCAAGCTCCAGCGCTGTATCCAGTGATGGTGACAGAGTTTGGATCACCTCCGAATGATGCAATGTTGTCTCGAATGAATCGCAGAGCTATAACTTGGTCTTTGAGACCTAGGTTACCTGGAGCATATTCATCTCCAGTGCTCATGAAACCTAGAGATGCTAGTCGGTAATTCACAGTCACCAGGACGATGTCTTTGTCTAGGAAATACTCAGGTCCCCACATCAGACTTTGTCCAGAGTAGACATAGAAACCTCCAGGATGGAAGAAAACTACCACTGGTTTCAGTGGACCTCTTCGAGTTGGTATCTGATAGATCATAATAAATTAAAATGGATGCTTCAAATTCATCTATTGAATATAATAATTTTAATTTATTACTTGGGTTGTGTAGATATTCAATCGCAGGCAATCTTCAGACATTGGATCATTTCTGTTAGGATCTTTAGGTTGGGGACACATAGGACCTTCTTGGGTAGCATCAAATGTCACAGTCCAAGGCTTAACTGGAACTGGTGTCTATCAAGAAAAAACAATGATATCCAATCATATTGGTAGATATTACAAAATAATTCATTCGCTTACCTTGAATCTAAGATCATCAACTGGAGGTTCAGCATACCTAACACCCCGGAAAGCATAAATCTTCCTTCCTAGTCTTGATGTCATTTCAGATCCCCGAACCCGACCGAGATCACAGCTAACGTTGACCTCGACAGTTTCATTGTGATGTGTAGCATTGATGCTATCAATACCACAACTCAATAACAATCCACAAATTAAAATAACAAATGTTTTCATTCTGATACGATGTAGCCACTGTGACTCAGCTCACACGACTGACCAAGAACTAGTTCGTCGCTGATCTTATATTCTTCCTAAAGGAGGAAACATTTGCAGAATTTCCAAGCAGATTCCAAGAACCAAGTATTTTAACAGTTAGAATGTATCAATAATTAGTCTTATCAGAATGCGATTATATAATTCTTAAATAACAACACAAAATATCAAACGTTTATCTAATTATACCACTCTAGCATTTGAATGAATACAAAACACTAGTTGATCGTAGCTTAATGATTCATATCATCCGATAAAAAAACATTATTTTATTTATTATTATATTCCGATCAATTATGCAATTTATTATTAATTCTTTTTTGTCTCCTATTTCCTTTAAGGAAAGTCATATAAATTACAAAACAATTCTCGTATCGACTTCATTATTTTAAACTATAAATCATTGTTTTTCTTTATCTACTGCTCTACTAACTCATCTCCATTTACAAAATAGAAAAAAAAATGTTTCAATATTTTTAATACAAATTTATCTAACAATTGATAATTTTTTCTTCAAAGAATAAAAATTAAAAAGTAGATTAATTAATTTATTCATTCTTAATCTAAAATAATCAACTTAGAACCAGATTTAAAATGAATTGTATAATATTCGAATCAATTTTAAAAAACACTTGTTCCTATATTCTATCAATAATTATCACGTTTAACAATGCTCCAGATAAAATTCAATTTGCAAAGAAATATAAAATGTAGTCATAAGTATTGTTCGCAAAAATATTTAATTACATACAAAAATACAATAAAAATAAAAAAATATAGATTTTTAAATAATTAGTCAGAATTAATTATTCAATGGAGAATGTAAAAAAAGAATGATTACTACCTGGTAGCAACAGTCAAAAATGTCCTTTAAATGACACTCTAATTCCAATTGCCAAATTATCAATTTTATTAATGAATTTAATTACTTATTATTTTTGAATAATTAATTGTGATAATACTTATAAAATTAAAAAGAACACAATTGAATTTAATATTATTATTTTAGATTAAATTAGTAATTATATCATTTAATCCTTACACCTCTGATGACCTTGAAATTTTAGGATGTTGTAGAAGTAATTAAGTTAATTAATTTAATATGCATAAATAGGGCGCAGAAAACATATCTTTAGATAGTTTTTTTTTAGGTTGAAAATTCTAATAAAGACACTGATTCCCTTCTATAATATTTGTTTTAGAATAACTTTGTTCAATGACAATGACATCACCATTAAATGATTAAAAATCAGTTCTAAATATTTATTTAAATATTTTTCAAAAAGAAATGAAATCTCGCGTTTAGTAATTAAATAAATGTATTATGTAAATTTACAATGATTTAATCTCATTATTTTTTATCTTAAAATTAAAGATTAATTAATTTATCATTTTTAATATCATGCAACAACTTTATACTCCATCCTAGCTATTACACCAGGTTTAAACTAAAAAGGAGTAATTGTTTAGATGTCTTTTTTAATAATTTATGACATCACATTATCATAAAAAAAGTTTATTAAAAATACATAATAACTATCTTAAAATTACAAAAACGTTGTAAATGATTTAAAAATTCAAAAGTATTAAGTCAATTGTAAATTTCTTTCACTTTCTTGTACTGTGATCATTTTTTTAATCTATCATTATAATTAATATTAATATTAATACTTCAATAAAAAATTTTATCGGTATTTACAAAAAAAAAAACATAAAAATAATCTAGGATTTGTTAACAAGATTTGATTTTAACAATTGGACGGATTGTGAGATTCTATCTTATGAATAACTTTTTCATATAAAAAGAATATTTATAAATATGTTTGTTTTAAAAAAAATCTATCTACTTAGCATCATAACTAGAAAGAATGTTACAATTATATTAATTAGTGAAAAAGCAATTTCACTAGCTCCGGCATTACAGTCAACAATTCTTCTAGCTCTCATAAAATCTGAACCCAAATATCTGCTGTATTCACGTTCTTCAGGTGGAATAACCACCAACTGTTGAGCAGCATCTTGAAAAATGAGATCTGTATATGGTGGATTACTGTAGAACATACTAAAGCTGAACTCATCTGTTTCTTTTCTTCCATAAAATTGTTGTGCATAAATAAATAAGTTAATATAAGCATTAATTTCTGTCTCATTATATCCTTCATAATTTCCTCTAGCTACAATAGCATTAGCTTTAACTTTTCCCAAATTGCAATCACGGTATTGATACGTGGCTTTACGAGTTCCATCAGGACATAAAAGTTGAAAATCTTTAGTAAAAGTATTTCTAGCCCATGTCTCTTTACGTTTTCCATCAGTGATTTCAAATACTGTGGTATGTTTGACAAAGGCAACATCACCACCGCCTTCAACAAGACACCTGATGGCACCAGTATGACCATAGAAGTCTTCAGTAGCATCACGACGACAATATCGATTGCTAACACCATGACAAAGACCACACATATTTTCATATGGAATACCAACATTATATTCAATGCTATGAGCACCTGGAATGCAAGATTTCATAAAATATTCAGCTGCTGCGCGAATTGAATCACATCCATAACCACGTATCCATCCATTTGATAATAAATAAGCCATTGGGTAGACCCAACCAGCGGCAGTGTTGATTCCTGTATGGCAACTATTTTTATTTTTTAAATAAGTTATGTCTGTTGAGTTATCGTTCTCTTTTGCTACTGCTACCACATAGTATTCTGGAGTTAGAAGATTGTACATTTCAGCCATGAAAGGTATTAAATTGTAAAATAGACCTGCTGTATAAACATCACTGGTATCTAGTACAGCTACATCTGCTTGACTGAAAGCAATCAAAAATATTTTGCGTAAACATCATAGTAATAATATTCAGATACTTTATTATAATTAAAAGTTTCTCTTTAAAATACTTACCCATCTCGGATAGCTTGCATACAATTTATTTGAGTGTATCCCATGAAACAAGAAAGCTCTGGCTTCAAAAGTTGAGCTTTTAAAGCAACCTAAAAAATAATAATAACATTGAAAAATTGTTTCTTTGTTCAACTTAAAAATGTTTTTGTTATTTTAATAAACTTTTATTTATTTTTAAGGAAGTATCGGAGGTACAGAAAAAATCAAAACTTTTATCGACAGTAAATATGTAAAGTAGGGTTAAGAAAAATATGAATTATATTTTTTTTGGGTCTGTAAAAAATGGTTAAAACAGTAAAAATGCCATTTATATTAAACTTGAAGCATTTTTTTCTTCATAAATCAGTTATTTTAACTATTAAGTATCGAAAGAAATAACCAAAATATTTAAAACAACAAATTGTTTAATTTTTCACATAATGGCTGAACTATTTTATAGATTTAATATATTTTAATTAAACTTGTTTATATTAATAACGAATCTATTAAATGTTGCTTTTCACAAACATGGCGTAAATATTCCAATTTAAAACTACCAATCCTACCATTTGACCTTGAGAACCTTTTTGATGTGTCTTACATCCAATTTATTTATGGCATAAAAAAAAATTAATATTCATCATTTGTGATAACCTCCCATACCTCCTTAATCATTTCTTGAGTTATTATTTTACAGCATTATATTTTACCTTCATCTTTTCGCATTTATCCTTTTCCGGTGTTGAAGTGACACAAAGTTTCATTCTTCCAACAGGACAATCCCTAACTCCCATTATAGCCTCCATTGAATGTCCTAAATAATGTTTATACGTCTGATCTTTATCTCCAATAGGAACAAAATCTCTAGCGGCATCAGAGAACAGTAAATTATGTCTAGATCCATATTTTGGTACAGATTCAAATATGTCAAAGACCTCCAAAGGTTGAACTGATGGTGGATTTGATGGATCATAGGCCGAATATTCTCGATCACGATCATAATAAGTATTATTTGATTCATGATTCCACTGATTATTATAATTATAATTTTCATTATAATTGTAATTATTATTATTATTGTTATTATTCTCATTGCCATCAAAGCTTCTATCATACGATTCTCTATCATTATTTCTCTCTTGTGTATGACCTCGATTAAAGTCATCAGTTCCGTTGAAGTTGATTGGCGTTTTGCTGAACAATTTAACAGCTTTTCCTAAAAACTTTTGATACAAAACTCGATTTTCAACTTTAGTTGCCGATGACACAACAACAGCACGTGATGGAATTCTTCCCCAATTACAGTCTTGATAATCATCGATATTTCGTCTTCGAGATCCATCTGGACAAAATAGCTCAAAGTCATTTTTAGAAATAGAATTAAAATCAAAACTCATTGATGTCATTTCCTGAACTGTTGTATGAACTAAAAAAGCTATTTCTCCAGCTTCTACAAGGCACTTAAAGGCACCTTCATAGTCAGCATAAGGATCTTTATTGGTACAAATACCTCCAGGAATGTCTCCAATGCAAAGTTTACATAACTGATCTGAATTATCTCCTAAAGGATTATACCGATCAACTAGAGAATTCACAGCGCAAGATGGTCCGAAGAATTCTATCGCTGATTTGACGTGATTATTACAGTCAATCACTTCTAATCCACCTCTTGTCATCAGAGTATGAATTGGAACAACCCATCCAGCTAAGGTACCAACACCAGCAAAGCATGCTTTTCGTCCACGTAATTGATGTAATGATGTTACATCTAATAGTGTGTTGTTTTTAATAACAGCAACAGCATACTGATAGTTTACACCAGTTGTATAAATCTCTTGCATTATTGGAATTAAACTATGATATCTTCCTGCCACAAAGACTTCACCAGCATCAAGAGTTGTCATGTGGGCTTTCTCTTGATCCAAAAGAACCATACATTCATCCTTGTTGAAAGCTTGGTGACACTGAAGACTGATGTAGTAACGACCAAATTGAGATATCTCACGGTCAATAGCCTGTACAAATGCTTTACATTTTTCTTGCTCCTCTGGAGAAACTGTACACCATATTGCCGTGTGATTTTGGCTTGTGTATACAGGCTCAGTATTTTTGTTATAATTGTAATTATAATTAGTGTTATAATATTGTGCTGAAACTAAAAAAAAGGAAATTAATAAAATCCTAACCTATTATTTAATTTTTTAATTAATTAAATATTTGTATATTTATAAATAAAATTTAAATGAATTAATAATGATTAAAAAATAAAAGATCAGTCAGTGAATGATTCAGAATTTAATACAACCTATGCCACACCCATCCATATTAAGATCAAAATTAAATATTACTTATTTTATTTCAAATTCATCATACATTGATTTTAATAAAGATAATTAAATTAATCATTTAATTACTTTTTTTACAAGTTTTAAGATACTTTCTATGTATATTTATTGCATTTTTAATGCAAAAAATGTACAAAAATTAATTATTTACCTGTTACTCTCTGACATAAAACTATCAGAGTAATAAATTTTATTAAACAAAACATTTTATCCACACAAGCCATTTTTTTTTTCTTTAATTATTTGAATATAAATAAAATAACTTTCACATCTGATTGTTTATCAACAAACTGGATAAAATATTAATTATTTATTTTATTGACATCTAATTGAAAATAATAATTATTGTATGACTTGTCAACGGGCGTCACCAGTCCGATGATGAGGGCGCTGCAATCGCTCAACACGAACTATACTAAA